GCCACCGCTCGGCTTCGGTTTTGATCACTGTTCTCGTCCAGGACCTCAATGACAATCCGCCAGTATTTATTTCTCCTGGCCGCGATCACCTCTCGAGACCGATACTCGACACCGCGGGCACTAATATTGCTTCTTTTGGAGCTAATAAGCCGAACATACTTCAACCAACTACATTTGACGGGCTTGGAATTTCTGGATACCATCTCGTGATCCCTGAGGACCTACCAGAAGGTGCTTATCTGACAACCTTGCAAGCCACAGATCGTGACTCTGGGCGCAATTCACGCATTACTTACACACTCTTTAGTCGACAAGAAGACAAGCGCTGCTTCCATGTTAACCAACGCACCGGTGTTGTTCGCTTGGCTGCTGGCTGTTACGCTTGGCGGCGCGAACTGCCACAACCACGAGGGATCGGTTGGGTACACCATTTGACTGCAACGGCTCGCGATGGATCTTCAACTCTACTAGTGCAGACCCAATTCACAGTACAAGTGCTTCCTGTTCACATAAATGTTTTCCCACCCCGATTTAGCCATCAGCCGGCCATATACAGCGGCTGGATTGCAGAGAACAAAGTCGAAAACAGTCCCGTATTCAGGATTGATATTGACTCCTGGCAGGAAAGCCAAGTTTATAGCCGAGAGGATCAACAACTTTTCATAAATGCCACCGACCCAGAAGGAGACCCTTTATTTCTGACCATTGTTGGGGGAACCGGTTTCGGTCGTTTCAGGATTGATAGCGATGGTAAGCAATACTCGTTTTATATTCATTCTTCCTAAGTTAACTATTTGTAAAAAACAAACTTTTATTCTTAAATGATTTGTTTCGTATCCATTAGTCTCAACGTTGGATTTATTACTTGTAGGCTTTATAGCAATTTCACTCACGATAGCCTTGAAATAGCGTTCTCCCAATGTATACTTTCGATATGTTACCAGTACTTCACATTGCTACTGATCCTAGTAGATCACAGAACAGATGTGAATTTAAAAGCAAACCAAGCCAAACAGACAAGTGAAGCCGATCCTTTGACCAAACGTGCTAAAAAGTTGTGGTATCTATCATTCTGCCCTGAGCTATTCATATTTCCTATATCCTCCTATCATGCCTTCCCTTGCACAGTTTTTACCGTGCTTATTTTTAATGTAGTGTAAAGTGCTTCTTTAAGCGGCATTTATGAAAACCCTTCACACTCCACACTGTCGTTATCACCCCCTTAACCCTTGTGCTGGGAATGTTGACCATAGTCTGTCATTTTGTTACGTTGTCCTTCCCTGGGTCCTGTCAGAGTCTCCTCCTTGCCCCGTAGAATCCGTCTGCTATCTCCTTGGTACATGTATTTCACTCGACCCCTGCCCCCCCATCTGTGCTACTCGAGGCGTATTTCGTCCATCCCCTGCACCTGGTGGATCAATTAGAGGCTAAAGCCTCAGTGTAAGTCTCATAGTCATGCCTTTGCTACATGGACCACGTCTCTTGTAAAACCTACTGTCAGCCAACTAGC